ATTAAATTAAGCCCCACAACTAATGGTAAAACTCTACATTTATTCTCAATATATATTATAAAAATATATTTAGAAACATAGAAAAGTGATGGCAGAAAAAGACTCAGTGATCCATTGATCCCCGTTGACTTTACTTCTATATAATATATAGGAAATCCTTGTTTAGTGGTTGCAATTGGGGCAGCCAAGGGAGGGATTTGGTGGTTCTTCAAACCGGCCATAACATTAGCTACAAGTTCTCCCAAACACGGGCGAACCCGTAGCAACCAACCCCGGGTCTTCCACAAACCTCCATTAATAAAGCATTTCTAATAAAGTTTGTGCCCAAGTCCAAGATCATAAGTAAATGTTGCCTGCTAGGCAACCCTCATTCATTCTTCTATGTCATAGTAATTATTATAGCAGTTACAATAATCATTGTTATAATTGTGCTCCTGCCGTGCCTATAAGCCATCAATGGAAGAGCAGTAGTCATTATTTTAAACATTTACATTCTTCCTTGTTTGTTTTAATCCTGTTTACATACAGCAGGATTATAAACCACTCGGAGTCGTCAGCAATGTTAGGAGGGAAAAAGAAAGGAAAGTCCCCAATTTAAATATTGACCAAAATGATTTCCAAAATAATTTCAGTATTCAAAAAGTTAGACACCACCAAAGGTGCACCATAAGTTAGTGGAGACATTTGAATTCTCTCTTTTTTTTTAAAAAAAAAAAGAGAGAGCCAAAAATCAAGGGAAACAATGTGAGAACAGGACCAGAATACCCTAATAACTGACATAATTTATCCAGGCATTTAAATTTGCTATAAATACAAGGAAAAAGAATCGGTAATGGCATTCTGCCTTGGGTTAGGAACACCACATTAGTTAATCAGTGGGGGTGTTTTTTCCTATGTAGAAGTTTTGCCTCAGCCATTTACAACTTATTTTTCTTGGAAATAGTGAAGTATTTGAAATAATGGGGAAGAGGGCCTCTGACTTCCTTTTCTGCTGAGGATTGCAGAGCCCAGCGTCTTCCATATACTCTGAAAATACTTCATGTTGGCCTTTGAGAGCGTATAAATAAAACCTACTGGCAGGATTTACGTTATCTTTGTACCTAAGCCAATTTGTAAAATGGCTGTGAAGCTAAATCATGTAATTGGAAAGACTCCTTCAACATTAATTGGAAATACGATATGGGGCTGTTCAGCCATTCCCTCTTATCCAAATGTAGGGAAACCAGACAGAAATCTGAAGACATCTGTAACGTATATGAATAGGGCAGAAATTGGGAGGTAAGTGGAAATGAGTGTATTTTGAGAGTTACCTTTGTTTTGATGTTCTTCTGCCGTCAGTAAAACAGTTATTTCACAGTGAACGTAACTATTTAACAATGGTGTATAATGAGTACAATAAGCATTTCTTTGGGCATAGAGCAACTACTTTGTAACTCTCCAGAAGGGATAATGATGGAAAAACCTCCATTATAATCATAGCAGGGGAACCTTTTCGTGCGGATTTCAGTGCAGCAGTGAACGTCACAAAATAATTCACAAATATAATTTCCTAAACCTCTAGAGGAAGATACATATTTTATTTCGTTTTACTTAATTTCTCTCATCTTACGTTGGAGATTTGAATCCATTACAATGTAGGAACAGTGGTTATTGGAGGGTATCCGTTGGGGAGAGATTTTATGAGAGAATATTCAAAGAGTCCTCCATTAAAGTGTGGGCCCATGTGCCTGCCATTTCTCCACTGTCTTTGGGAAAAAGCCAAAATTGCCTTTCTGACCTTGGTGGATTATGGGCCTCACCAAGAAAGAAGACAAGGAAGCGCAGCAGCCTTTAACCAACCCAAATGTCATTCTGGGTGATTTCTTTTCAGAAATTAGCCATATTTGTAAAAATTCTGTAGCCACAGGTTATTATATCACCAGAGTTCTTGGTTGGATCAATATGAAATGTCCACGATGTTAACTGAGACCATAAACTGAAAGGCCCTTCAAACATTAGTTTGTTGTTTTAAACATGTTACAACAGAAGAAGCCACACAGTTGGAAATCTGGGAATTGTAAACCCCGTGAGGGTGAATATCTTGAAGCCTATATAATGGATCCTTATGGTCCAACACAAAAAGATTGACCATTTCTTCCCTGTCCAATTACTATATGAACCCTTGCGGTGGTGGGCTGCAACCGGTTTAACAACCGGTTCTGTGAGCGCACGCGGTAATCCACTTTGCTGCGTGAATCAGCTGAGCTGCAAAAGAAGGAAATGTAAGACAGGATAGGGCGGGGGTGGGTGGGCGGGGCCAGCTGATCGTGGTTCATACTGGTTCGCTAGAACCTGTCTGAACCGGCAGCAGCCCACCACTGAACCCTTGGCAAATTTATGTTCTGATAGTGGCTGCACAGGGTTTCTCAGCTGTTCTAATACCATTGTTCTGACTAAGGCTTCTTAAGACCGTAATTAAGCACACGCTTAGTCCAAACAACGCTTGTTTTATTTCAACGCTGGGAATTATTTTCATTCCCAGCCGGTAATGAGTCCCAAACAGTTCCTCGAGATAAGCACCCACCTTTCTCTCCTTTGAATTGCTGCCAACAACTAAAGTGCCAAATTAACTGTAAAAAGTCAACCGGAGTACAAAGTCCACACAGAGCTTCAAGGTTTAATCAGAACAGAGCAAACAAAGTTGCTTCCTGCAAAGGCTTCTCTACCCTTGCACCTCCTTTATACCTTAGGGGAGGGGCAATCACCTCCAAGCCTTACTCCCAAGTCGTCTCTTTTGTCTCAGCTGCTCTTGCCTTCTAGCAGCTCTGCGCACACATGCACTGGGAACAGGCTCCCCTTGTTCCTCTGCCTCACTGCTGCCAGATTCTAGAGGCTCCAGAGTCAGCACCCCACTCCCAGATGGTCCTGGCCCCCTCTCTGCATCAGACACAAGACCCTCGTCCGAATCCTCCCCAAATTCCCAGACAGGTCCCCATTCTTCCCCACTGTCTGATTCTGCTGCTGTCTGTACTGGTTGCCAGCAAAGCACAGCAAGATATTATTCTATCCCTATCCTATCCTATCCTATGTAGCATTTGTGTCGCATTTGGAATCTGCCTCCTTCGACAATATAAAGAGCTGCGATAAAAGTAGCGAAAACTTAAAAATTAGGCAACGAACATTTATTTATTTAAGGTGAGCGGTTCTAAGATGAATTGAGCAAAACTTGTGACCAGGCACTTATCATTGGGAGATAATTGACCTCATTTGAGTGCTAAATGTCCTGAGGAGAAGTTGAGTGTGTTTAAATCCTAGCAGGTTAATTATCCAGTGATTACAATAAACTTGAAAGGTATTAGAGCTAAGAATCATTTGCACGATGATGCTATTAGAAAACTAAATTCAGTGATAATTAAAAGAAATGACGAATAATAAAGTTCTCCAATCATGGATTGCTACATAATGACTGTAGAATGGCAAGAATTGGTTAAAAGCATTAATTGCTTCTACTAAAAGTGCTAAAATTATTGTGTGAAGCCTAGTTAATAAATACTGATGAGGTAAGCAGTAACACTAATTTCCAATATATAAAAAATATGTTTATTTTAATTGTATCCTGCTTTTTACAAATAACTCATAGTTCATCATAGTTCACAGTTGCAATGAATCAACATATTAACCCAAAATATTACAATTTAATAATAATACTCAGGGGTTACTAAAGAGATTTCCAGAACCAGTTATTCTATCTGTTTGCCTGCCTGTCTTCCATCTTTAGTACTTTTACAAATAACTCAAGCCAGCAAACATATCCAACATACCTTCCTTCTCTTCTTTTCCCTACAACAACAACCCTGTGAGGTGGGATGGGTTGAGAGAGTATGACAGCTGGATTTCACGGCTAGGGCAGGACTTGAACTCACAGTCTCCCACCTTCTCCCCGATGCCTTAATTTTTAGCTATTTTTTTTATGTGGGTTTGGCTTTGGCTATATGAAATGGAAATAAAGGTAAAGGTTCCCCTTGCACATATGTGCTAGTTGTTTCTGGCTTTAGGGGTCGGTGCTCACCTCCGTTACAAAGCTGAAGAGCCAGCGCTCTCCGAAGACATCTCCATGGTCATGTGCTGGCATGACTAAATCCCAAAGGCTCATGGAACATTGTTGCCTTACCTTCTATTTTTCTACTTGCATTTCTACATGCTTTCAAACTGGGTTGGCAGAAACTGGGACAGGTAATGGGAGCTCACTCCGTTATACAGCGCTAGGGATTCGAACCACTGAACTGCCGACCTTTCTGATCGGCAAACTCAGTGTTGTAGCCACTAAGCCACTGGGTCCCCGTTGAAATAAAAATACAACTCCATAAAACTAGCTTCCCCATTACTTCTAGTTTGCTAGGGTGCATATATCAGGTGCACAACCACCAACCAAAACCTTGGTTCCTGCTTCCAAAATTCCTCCATAGGTTACCGTTAGGTTGAAATACAAAATATAGAAGAGATTATTAAACGAATTGTTTCCATTTAATTTACTTTAAATCATTTTAAAGTGTTTTCTGGTTATGCCCCTGTTTTAGAATGTGGTCTTTGCTTGCCAAATGAATGAAAATAAAGAAAACGGCCATAAATAACTTTTGCTTCTAGATGACACAATGAGAGAGTACGAAAGAGTTCAGACCTCTCCATGGAGCATGGTGTCTAAAAATTTAAGATGCAATGCAGTGGTGGGATTCAATTTTTTTTACTATTGGTTCTGTGGCCGTGGCTTCTTGGGGGTGGCTTGGTGGGCATGACAGGGGAAGGATACTGCAAAATCCCCCTTCTCTCCCCATTCCACTAACCTGCTTTCCAGCTCCGTTCTCCTGTCAAGGACTACCTGTAGCTGGCAGCAAAAGCCTGTTTTCTTTCTCTCTCTGCTGACACCTAGTGGTTGCCCAGAATCTGCAGCCCAGATCTGCCACCCTTATCATTTTACATGCCAGTACAGTATTAAAACAAGGACACTTCCAAAAAGCTCTTACCGTTTCATTCCCAAACAGGACGTCAACGTAAGGCATGACTTCCATCAGTTGGTCCTTGTAGAACTGGCTAATGAATGGTGCAGAAAGATTTAAAGTGAAGATCTTGTTGTTTGCAGAAGCTTGAATTGCGACTTTCATTATGGATTCTGGAGACACTGTCAAGAAGAAACCCTGCAAAGAAACTCAGAATAAATTGCTACGCACGGAGGGTTTAAGAAATATTGCTGCTATTAAGTGAAAAAAGAAATCCACACAGAAATAGATGCCAGAGATACACAATTAAAAATAAGTGAAGGAAGAGCTCAAAAACACCCATCCAATATGTCTATGAAGATTCTCAATCCTCCAGGTCATGGTTGTCCGAAGGTGCTTTTTCAGGAGGCCACTGGACTCCCTGGTTTTTCTTTGAATATGTTTCGCTTCTCCTCCAAGAAGCTTCTTGAGAGCTGAAGAAGTTTCGTGGATCAGAAGCGAAACGTCTTCAAAGAAAAACCAGGGAGTCCAATGGCCTCTTGAAAAAGCAGCTTTGGGACTCCCATCCAATATCAAGAATATGAGAAAACTACCTCTCCATGAATTGTATTTTATTGAGTGCTTTCTCTATGAGAATTATAATATTTATCTATAGGAAGAAGATTAAGATGGACCTAAAGTTAAAAACAGTTATCTAATCAATATCTTGGGAAACTAGAGTTATATTTATTCAATGGGATTCTTTGAATCATATTCTCTTGAACTATATAAAAAATGGCATAAACTCTGTAATAAACAACTGTTAGTATTTTCCTAGTACTAAAGCAAAAGTAAAAATTATACAGTATAAAAAGTGAATTAAATTAAAAAATTATACAAACTATGTAACAGTAATAAATTATAAAAGTTATTTTAAAGCTTAGGTTACAAAAATCTGCATTAAACACGTAGGAGCATAATTCTGTGTACATGTCTGCTCAGAAGAAAATCCAGTGCATTTAATGAAATTTATATCCTGATAAATGTTTGTAAGATCACAGCTGAAAAGGTGCTTTAGGAGTTAAAGAAACGAAGAGTCAACAAAGAAAGAATCTCTCTCTCTTTGTATTCTCTGTCCTTCAAGCTTTTAATGAAAGTTCAGTGAGGCATTCCGAATCATTTTCATACGATACAATTACTATGAGTTTTGAATGAGTGTGTTTTAATCTTTCAATGCATGTTTCTTTTTCATATTTGTTGGGCTTTTAAGTATGCTCTAAAGAACGAGTAACTATGGCTGATTTTGGTGACTATAGACTTATAGACATTTATGTGATAACATACTAATTACATTTTAACAGCAAGTTTTTCACCTTTTTTTTTTTAAAAAGAACAACCTCAGTTGCTTTGACTTAATTATTGAGCATAAATGTGCAAAAGCACATGCTATACTGAGATTTTGAAAGGAATGCTGCATTAAGAAACATAAAAACATTAGAAATTATGAATAATGCTGACAACATTTATTATTCCTGAAATCTGCGTGGGTTAAAGGCTGAATGTGCCAAATATTTCTCTTTCAAAATATGCTACTAAATATATAATTAGCTTGTTTTCCATATTTACAAAGTGCTATAACACCTCTCAACCACAAGATAGTAACTGTAATGGGAAATAAATGAGAACTGAATGAAGTGTTTAAATAATTTATATGAGCACTGAAATAAATGAACACTTCTCAGGGTTTTTTTTTCCTTAGCTCTATTTAGAAATCTGAAAAAAATGTGATCTGTTCTTTACATTTTGTGAGAGGAAATAAAAAGACCAGGAAATAATGACATATAAGTAATTGTTACTTACAATGTCAGTATGGACAAATAATTACTGATGGTTAACAGTAAATAACATTTATTCTAGGGGTTAAGAAAATATTCCCATGCTGATATACAGGGCTATGTTTTGATATCACAGAGAAATCAAGGGGAGATCATGTTTCTATCAATTCCTCCTTGGGATGTGTATGAGATATAGCTTATCTGATATTACTGTGATGGCATGCACAGCCCTCTCTGTGGGCACGCACCCATTGCCAGTTGCTCTTTTGGTCTTTGTGGGCGCCGGAGCCCCGGAAAAAGGCCTGAGAACAGCCAAAATACAGGCCGTTTTTATGGCCTTTTCCAGGCTGTTTTCTGGGCTGAAGATGCCCCCCAAATGGCCTGAAAACAGCTCCCCAAACAGCAAAAAAACAGATATGCATGCACCGGCCAGCTGGTTTTTGAGTTTCTAGCACTTCGGCACAGCTGTTGGCTGTGGAAGAAACTGAGGAAGGGCAAAGTCTGGCTGAGCAGAGGTAGAGCAAGAGAGAGGGAATTCAGAGGAAGATCCAGGCCCACCCCTCTTCATCCTAGGGCACGCAGGGAGGAAGGGAGAAGGGAGAAACGTGAGTTGCATGGCTTATGGGGGAGGGAAGGGCCCTGATTCCCTTTATTAGCTGCAGCTGGGAACACAGTATATAAAAAAGGAAGCTGCACGCAGCAAGCTGTTAGGAGCAAATGTGAATTTATCTTGTATCGTTGTGGTTTATCTGTGTTCCTGGCGTCTTTCCAAACGTGTGAGTTTTGCTGTACTTTCAAGTCTGAAATTCCTCCTCCTGCCCTGTCAAGCTAATTACTTCAATTTGGTTTGTTTGGATTTTAAGTTATTTTAAGTTATAGTTTGTGTGTCCCTTGTTTTGGACTGAATTTTCTACAGTTAAAGGCTGTTCCTGGGAGTTTTTCTCCCGCCGAAGGTAACTTGGACACTGGGGGCAAAGTTGGAGAAAATAAAGGGACTCATTGCTTATTTGACTGTGTTGCCTTTGTGCCACGCCCCAGGTCATCGCAGATTCGCCACCACTAGTTCTTCACTAGTTATACACATGGTTCTCAAGCAGTGGTGGGATTCAACTGGTGTAACAACCGGTTTGGTGATCATGCACGCATGAACCAAATGTAAACTCTGCGCACATGAATGCCATTTTAAAAAACCCATTTTCAGCTATAATACTTACCTTCTACTGCAGGCCCGGTGAGTAAAACAGCTGAGGTGCAGCAAAATTGCTCTGCCGCGTGAATCAGCTGTGCTCCAAGACAAGGAAATAAAGCACCGGAAAAAGCAGAGGGAGGTGGGTGGGGCCAAATTATCACAGAAACTACCAGTTTGCCCAAACCCGTCCAAACCTGCCCCTGTTCTCAAGGATATTTGCCTCTTCTGGAAAAGTGAGGGATTCTAAAATATGACACCGCCTATTTTTCAAATCCTTCTGTTGCACAATTGCATTAAAGCCAACTCTACCATCAGTTTTGTGGCAACACTAAGTTTATTTGAAAGAGGTTTCCTGTTATTGACTTACAAGTGTGTTAAGCACTTATTTTGCGCAGTTATTTTGTTGTTGCTTTTGTTCACACATTACGTTCTGCAAATCATCTTTTAGTGAGTAACCTCAAGGAATTTTCAACACATGAGTGGCATCAGAATTGATCAACTGCTGGATCCGTTCAGTGAAAACCATTTTAAACAGTCAAAATCAAATTTGACTTGTCATCCTCTCCCACACTTAGTTAACCTTATTGGCGTTTAAACTAAAATGACTTAGAACTGAGGAGCAGAAGGCAATCGGGGAGCTGATTCTCCACAGGCTCGCAGAACAACATAACTTTTTCTATTTTCTGTGGTTTGAAACACCTGTTGTTCCAAAAGAGCTATAATACTGCCCAATGCACAATTTAAAAAAAAATTAAACAGTCAACTAAGATTCTTAAAGATTTAATGTTAAGATAGATGATGGTTGAGAGCCAATTTGGTGAGGGCAACAGGCCAAGCCAGTTGGTTGACCTTCGGCCTGTCCATCTCTCTCTAAGAAAGAGGCAATGGCAAACCACTTCTGAAATCTTGCCAAGAAAATTGCAGGGACTTAGTCTGGGAGTTGCCAGAAGTCAACAATAACTCAGAGGTACACCCTCCCCACCCTCACCCCCAAAATGATGATCGCATCACATACAAGTGTCAGTCAACATGAGGTCTTGAACAAGAGGGTTCAAGAAATGTGGAAAACATTTTAAAGAAAGCAAAGCAGACACAGCATTATTCACTTTTATGGAATGTTTGAACCCATTTCTATCTGCCAATTCTCTGCTAAAATATTAGCTGACTATTTAGGATTTTAACTTATTTAATCCAGAATGTGCCTGTTTTCCAATGCGACTGGGTTACGATGGCCAAAAAACAAAAGAAACTCATCCCCCAACGCTTTTGAATAAAGTTTTTGGCATCCTGCAATTTGTATTGTTTATTTTAATGGAAACAGAGCTTCATAAGTGGAAAATGACTAAGATTTCAGCTATTGTTTTATTTCAAGTGGGCAGTTTTCCCATTTTTGATGAAAGCTAAATTTCAAACAGCTTTTCTACTTAAGTAAAAAAGCTGAACTGTCATGGTATATGCTTATATTGAGGCTGACATTTTCTTTTAAATTAGTGCCAACATGTGAAAAGGAGAGGACTACTTTAAGACTGGAACAGTTTTACTAATGCTGAAGCAAACTCTTAATTGTTGCCACATTGATATTTATCATTACAACAGCTGCAGAGCTAAATAGATAAAGTAATGAACATTAATAGCTTTGGAGCTTACCTCAGGCATGTCAAAGATTATACTTTAAAAATTAACATCAATTTCTAATTATTAAATGTCATGGCCACTACCCAGACAACAGCTTTATAAAAATCCAAGAAGTTTCTGTCTTGGAAATGGATCTTGGCCTCTGGGAGGAAAACACAGCAAACATTATTCATAAAAATAGGTCACGGCTATCACCAAACCCAAAGTCTAAAATATGCTGGGAACTAAAAGGTGGATGTAATGGGCTCCTCAGAGCCTGGGAAAGAGGATAATGATTTGCACGGCATTATAAGCACAGAACATCTGCACATTCTTCCTTTATCATGAAAACATGGAGTTATCTCCCCAGGTACATCAACAGGTGGCTAGCTAGAAAGCTCTAACTTAGGAAAAACTAGAGATATATTGGCTGCTAAAGTAAACAAACTCAATCACCAAGGTTTCTGTAATCTAATTCCCTTTCCCCCCTTTCCATAAATCTGTTTAAAGAAGACTCTGAGAATATAACACCCGGGTAGAAAGCATGCTACGGATGTGCCAAGAGGGTCCCCAAATAATGG